AATGGCATAAATGTGTCTGTGGATTTTTAAAAAGTAACAGCGAGTCATGAAACAGTCATTTTCAAAGGGGAATTCCTTTGATTTTGTTTTAGTTAAATGGATTACCCTTACCCCAATTCTGTGTAAGTCTGACTAATGTAAGTGTCATCCACTGGTTAGGAAACAGTTGTATTTTAGTCCTTATTTGCTTTAACTTTCTTTTTGGGAATTTTAGGACTGATAATTGTTGTAATCAAATAAATGGGACATAAACTTTGTTGGGGGGGGGAGTCAGTGGCTCCCTATCTAGACTGCCCAGCTGCCCACTGCGTCACCACTTAGTGGCACGGGAATGTGAGAGACCCTCAGGTTTCACATATGACACATGGTCAGACTAGACACCCATTAGAAGAGTGTCCGTTTAATCAAGTCTCTGCCATACAAGTCTTGCCCAGTCTGCTGCGTTTGTTAAGTGAAAGGGTCTGTGGCGTAGAGGATGCTAGAATCTTTTACAGAGAGTTTTGCTGAGCCCTGGGGCTCGCAATGACCTGAAATTCTTCAATATCTTTTGAAGTTCAAAGCCCAGTGTACCTCCTCAACGCAAAGTGCATTTTTGAAAGCATGTTCTTTCGTTTTGTTCTAATCGGTAATTACAGCCCCGATGGCGCCTGGGGAGCAGATGCAGAAGTCATCGATGCAGGAGGGGGAATGAGTTGGGTGACACAGCGGCATCACAGCAGCCAGCGGCTCTGCACTGTGGTGCGGGGCTAATGCAGTTGCCGCTGGAAGCAATTTATTCCTTTTCCCAGCCTCTCTGTTCCCTGTGCACTTCCATTAAATCCATGCGTGGAGTGCTCCTAAAACAAGAGTCGCCAGGCAGAGCCTTTTGACTTGTAAAATGGTAAAAAATCAAAAATAAAAAGCCTGAAATTGACACACTGTCCTTCTATTTTAGGTACTAAATTCAGTGTTGTTATAATGAAGGTAACATACTCCTACTTCCAAAGGTTTTGTCCATTGTGCTGGGGCCTGAATTGGAGTGTTTTACCATTGAACCTCATCCCCAGCCTGTATTTTTTGGGGGGTGGGGAGGGGAAGTATCTTGTTAAATTGCCCCAGTGGGATTTAATTTTGTAATGTCCCTGCCTCAGCCTCCCAAGTGCTGGGGTTACAGGCATGCACCACAACATCCAACTCACACTTGTGCAGATATCGTGTCTCTTCAGCACAGATGTTGTCTTGGAACAGATGAGTTTTATAGCTTAACAGTGGCAAAAGGTGTCTTTGAAATAAGGGTGACAAACACTGTTTTAATGTTCTTCTTGGTTGAAAAGTTTTAATTTTCCCTTCAGGAACCATCTCAGTGTTAGACTTTAGTGTTTCCTGTTTTCCTTGTTGGTGATTTTATTAGATGATGAGAAAGTGTTTGCTTTAATCCTCAAATATTGAATTTGTAGAATCTAGTCTCTGGTTTTATGGTCTCTAAAAATGTTAAACTTCATGTGATTGAACTGTTAATTTCTAATGAGTTTTAAACAAGCATTCAAATTATTTAAAAAATTAAGTGGATCAGGGATTAGTAATTTCTCAACAGGAACTAAATGTAAAATTCAACACACAGAAAATTCAAAAAATGCAAGTAATTTTAGAATACACAAATCAGTCTGTGCTGCATGGCAGGCCAAGTGGGCTGGGGGAGCTCCCTCCCCCGGAGGCTCTCAGTGGTAGATAAATGAGGGCAAATTTATTGTCATAATGATACCCAGACATTATTTACATTTGTGTTGTGTTGATATTTGCATTGATTGTGTGAAAGCAAAAATAGAGAAAACTCCTGGCTTTTGGTGTGAGTCAAGGTTGTGGCAATAAATTCTACCTAGTAGTCATTTCATTAGTCACCGCCGTACGCTCAGATTAAAACAGAAATGTGGGTTTCACGTAAGACTGTTGTAGTGATGGAGTAAAAAGTATAGTTCTTAAATCTTGACCCTTGAAGGTTTGTTGTTGTGTTCTTTAAACCAATCCCCTCTCCCATACTGGGGATCAGACCCATAGGTGTTCTGCCAAGGAGCTATGGCCCCAGGCCCTTCTATTTAAAACTTTGAGATAGGGTCTTGCCAAGTTGTTCACTTGCCCAGGTGGGACTTGAACTCCAGGCATGTGCCATCGCATCTGGCTAATACTTCTTGATACATTCTGATGAAATGGAAGTACCTAGGAAGCTCTGCATTCTCAACTACAGTGATTGGTTACCTCAAGAATTAGATCTAGTACCTAGTGGGACTGTGTTGGAAGGACAGTTTTGGCAGTGGTGGGTGGGGTGAGTTTGACACTGTTTTGAATGTATCGGAAGGCAGCACATTGGTAAGCATCCTGGGAGTTAGGGTTTGCATTGTGGGGGAATTGTGGTACCGACACAAGGTTGAGGGACATGAAGAAGAATTTTTCTGTGTTGGATTTAAAGTCAAGGTGTTTTGAATTTGTGTTTTAAGGTATTGAAACTAGTCTTGCTCTGTCCATTAAAAAAGCCTAGAATGGGGGCTGGGGATTTAGCTCAGTGGCATAAGCGCCCGCCTTGCAAGCAGGCGGTCGTACCGATAAAAAGGAAAAAGACCAAAAAAAAAAAAAAAAAAAAAGCCTAGAATGTCTGACTCTGTAAAAGAAAAATAAACCTAATTTCTCTTCCTGTGTGTTCATTTCGTAGTACAGATCCTTTCCATGAGTAGATTTCTGCACACTAGCAAATCAGCGGAGCCCAGCTATGTGACCTCTCATTCAGCTCGCTTTTTACTGCTGACCTGGAGGAGGTAGTGTTGAACTCCACAGACTGTGCTCCTGCTTGAGATAACAGCTGCGTGGCATTTCTGGGCCTCTGCAGCTTCTGGCCAAAGCTCTGCCAGTTGGGTCTCTCCCACACTGTCTTTGGGTTTGTGATTCCTCTGCTAGAACTGCTCACAGGACACAGGAAAATACATACATGCTTAGGACTACTGGTTTCTTACAAAGGAAATTTATCAGATACATAAGATCAGTCAGGTGAAGAGATGCGTAGGTGAGGTCTGCAAGTGTCTCCAGGCAGAAGCTTCAGTCCCCAGTGGAGTGAGCCACTGTCCTGCACCTGGGTGAGTCTTGTGCACCTTCCTTGTTCAGCTCTTGTGCAAGCCTCCTGCTTCAGCTCTCCAGAGCCTTCTGAGCCTATCCTTGGGGGTTTGTGTGTTGGCCTCATTATATCATTTGGGTAGGGGTTCAGAGGAAGCAAGATTAGCCACGGCAGGTAATTCCTTGGGGGTCAGCATGGATGTATAGTGTACTTTTCTGCTCTGAAATATGTTTGAAAGATATTAGGGTTTTTTTTGTTGTTGTTGTGTTTTTTTGTTTTTTTGAGACAGGGTCTCACTATGCCGTTCAGGCTAGACTTGAGCTCACTTTATAACCCAGGCTGGTTTCAAACTCCCAAGGATCCTCCTGCTTCAGCCTTCTGAGTGCTGGTATTACAGGTGTGTGCCACTATGCCTAGTGAGGATTAATTTTAAAAAGAAAACACACAATAATGGTATAATATCACATTTTCTTGCCTCCATGCGCAGTGTACTGAGAAATATGTTTCACTTCTATAGAACTGGTGCCAAATATATTTAACTGAGTCTAGCCTTGAGAAAAGACTTAGGTCTAAGTTCTGAACGCATGACATTTGACAAGGCACTACTGCTCCGTTGTCCAAAAATGGTCAACTGTGAAAAACAACACAAAATGGTGTTGTAGGAAAGCAGCCAAATACAGGGAACTAGCCTTGCTTGAGTGGGTCATCTTGGCCCCTCAAAAGTTGTAAAAGACATCTTGGGGACAGTACTATCATTAAAATAATTAACAGTAAATGATATTACTGAATTAATGTTCATTGTTTTAGGTACAATTGTTGTTTTGTCATTCTCTAGAAGAATGTCGTTGTCCTGGGGGAGATGTACACTGCGGAAGTGTTTTAAGACAAATTAGCATGTGTGCAAATAACGTTCACAGTGTGTAGCTCGGCTCATATTTCACAGTGGAGATGGTCCTGTTAACAGCTGCCCACCACGGTGGGGGCAAACTGATGGCAGGGGCACTGCAGAGAGCTGTTTGTGTATCTGCAGCTCTAAAAGGTTCGTCAGCACTGCTCTGTGGTTCAGCTTCATGTTTGTTGAAAGGGACGGAGAAAAAAAAAAAAAAAACAAATATGGAGACCAAAAGTGAAGGATCTATAGGTGTTTCTGATTTTAAGTTTTACTTTTCTGTGTGCTTGAACTTTTTGAAAAATGATTGATAGAAAAAAATGAATTCCCAGGAAAATATTATTTGTTAGATTAAGTGTGTTGACAGCATTTTCTGTGGGAGTAATTACCCTAGTGGCATTTAAATTCTCTTGGAATTAATTCTACAGCTACTTAAATTGATGTTAAGTATAGAAAAGAAGGAACACCATTAGTTTCATGAGCTTTTATATCTGACAGAAGGAGAATGAACATAGGTTGAGATTAAGAAAAGAGGAGCTTAACATTTGAGAGAGTCGCTGGAGATTTAGTTCAGTGGTGTAAGCTTCTGCTTGGCAAGCATAAGATTGCGAGTTCGATCCCTGGTACCAAAAAAAAATTTTTTTTGAAGGAGTCTTTTTATGTATATGAAAGTTATATATATATATGTGTGTGTGTGTGTGGTTTTGAAGAGGAAAAAGATCATTGGTTTTTCAGAAACTGTCGCTTTTTTTTTTTTTTTCCCTTCCACCCTTTGACTCTCCATGTCAAGAAATCAAAAATGGTTTCTGTCTAGGCATGGCCGCACCATTCTGCGTTAGACAGGACTTGTGTCTAGAACTGGATCTTCTGTCTTTTGCTGAGGTCACAGCTGAAGTCTTTTTTGTTCAGGGTTTTTGTTCTGGGCGACCGTGCAGTGTGATAGGACAGGTGAAGATGGTTCCTGCTCTCCTCTAGGAATCTAAGTGATTGCAGCAGCCCCAGTTTTATCCTTTTCTTTTGAATCTCAAGCAGATCCCTAAAGAAGTAGCTGACATCTTTAACGCCCCCAGTGATGATGAAGAGTTCCTTGGTTTCCGAGATGATGTTCCCATGGAAACCCTGTCCTCAGAGGAGAGCTGTGATAGTTTTGACTCCCTGGAGTTGAGAAAACAGGTACGGATGCTTCTTTCCAACGCAGATGTGTTTGTCTGGAAGCCTCCTTCCTAACACGGATGGTCTTTGATTCCAGTGTGGTCCAAGATTGGGCATATCAATTAGTTATTGAGCAGTGTATTTTAGAACATTATGCCTTCATGTTTTAAGGAACTGGGAGGAGGATTCTGTTCATGTTTGCTGTTTTAATCCTGCCCATTAAAATACATTTTTTCAATAAAAGGACCTCACATGATCAAATCCATTTTCTGGGCTGTCACCTGGGGTGAGGCTGTGTGCAGGGTCCTCCCACGCAGGTGGCAGGGGAGGCTGCCCTGCTTTGCAGACCTACACGAAATGTGCAGTCACTGTGAGACAATGGTCTCACTGTGGACCTGCAGTGAGAGTCTGTCTAGGGAGACCATTATTCTTTCTTTAATTACTTTGATCAGTAGCAAATGCAAGTTCCAGTTCTCCGAGAGTTAGATTCCTGGAGGTTTATGTTGTGCCTTAGTTGTGGAACGGCAAGTCAGAACACCTAGCCTTCAGTGGCCTTTTCTTCTGAGTTCATTGTAACACTTAAAAACTCCCCATTCTCCCTCTACCACAGCTTCTCCTCCAAGACTGTAAACTAAACCACCTTGCGTCTTCCACAGGGCAGACCCAAGGAGAGCGGCTGGCTGTACATGCAGGAGGGCCTGCTTCATGACTGGTCGGCGTGTGTTCTGACCTAGGTGGGCATGGTGCTTTCTGGGCTGCCGGCCTCCGCAGTCTCTGGCCTGCCTCTTACTTGATGTCTCCACAGCCTTGGACCCTGAAGTCACTTCCTCCGATTTCCCCGCTCTGTGAGACCTCATGCTGTGTGCTGACATCTCTTTTTCCCTATCCCTAAATGTGGCTGTTTCCTAACATATTTAGCAATCTCACTGAGCTCAGCGGTCCTGCTTGTGGCTGTTGCCACGTTGTTTTATGTGCAGCCCAGCTTCTCTGTCCAGCCCCAGACGTGCTTCTGACTGTCAGCTGGACTGCTCTGGGTTCTGAAGGGACCACTGAAGCGCACCATTTTCCCTCCTCTGCTTGCTTGTCTGGCTTCCCCCTTTCTCCATTTTTTTTTTTTTTTTAAATTTCCGCCTGTTATTCTTGGCTCCTCCTCTGCCTGCTCTTCTTCCTACTCCTTTCCCACGTCCCTGACTGCCATCCAGGAGTTGAGGAAGTGTGCATGGCTTCCCTTCTCTTCCTTCTGCAGTTGTCCTCACCCCTGCAGCCTGCACCCTGCCCCCTGCACCCTCCTGGATCTCTTGTGGAATGCTCTCTGGTCAGGGCTCCGCCAGCTCCTGCACAGGGTCAGGCAGTGAGGGAGCCTGTGGCCTGTCCAGTCTGAGCAGTGTAAAGGGCCCGGTGCACAGCCCGGCACAGGCTGGGCATTCAGGAGCAGCGCTGCTGCTTTTGCTGCCACAACTGCTTTTCCAGTACGCCTGTCCTTCCTCCTGCCCCACCCTGGCCCAAGCAGGCTGTGGACAGCTGTGACAGTGTGCCGTGTGCTTTCCATGCAGACACTGCACTTCCCCATGGCCCTCCTGGGCAGCTGAAGGTGTTGTCACTGTCCCATTTTACAGGTGGTGAAACCAAAGCTCAGGTAGGGGAAGATGTGAAGGCTTCACGTCCACAAGTGCACAGTTGAGCTGATGCCAGCGTAGGGCCAGCAGTTCAGCGTCCATTACCGTCCTTGGCTTCCTTCCCTCCCTGCTGTACTTCCGTGAGGGGCACTGGGTTGGTCCCCTCATCGTGCATGGTTCCGCCTTTCTGTCCACTGGGCCTCAGTTGGCCCTGCCTGTGCTGTGCTCCTTACTGTTTCTCTAGACTTGGTCTTGGTTCGGGTCCAGTTCAGATGGTGCTGCTTCCCTTTCGTGTGCAGTATTGTGTGTGTCTTCCTCAGGCCTGGCTCTCACCGAGGTCTCCTCGGGACTCGTCCAGGTCCCCTGCGAGGTTATAAGCTCTCCGAGAGGGGCACCTCATACTGGGGGTGCTTCTCACTTCCCTGACTCTGACCTTCTGTCCTCACGCTGTCCTTTGCCTCCTCTATCAAGCACCCAGCACCCTGCATGACTACAGAATGAGCACCGCGGGTGAGTGCTGGGTACAGCAGAAATGGGTGCCATCAGACTGGCTCAGCAGGCCATTCATTGCTCTGCAGTCCGTTTTCACGTCACACAGATTAAAAAATGAACTGAACCACCTGTGGCACCTCCTCCTCCTGTCTGTTATTTGCTTAGGGTTGTGGTCCCAGTAGCTATGGGTGACTGAGGCCCACAGCAAAGGGCCCTATATTGATTTTGAAGTAAGATGAACACATTCTGGAGAGCAAACAGCTGTGTGAAGTTTGCAGCCCACAGTGCATGAGAGTCTGGGTACAAAATGGTTTTGTACACACTTACGTGAAAAACAGGCTTTACACGCTTTAGATTTTTTTCCCACTGGGCTTGGTCACCAAGGATGTGATTTCCCCCAGGCTGCCAGCTGCCCTCTGAGGAAAGAAAAAGGATAGAAAAGGCCAGAAAGGACTGAAAAGTTGGACTCACTGCTCTAGGCCTTGATCTGTTCTCTTCAGGCGCTAGGTGGGAGCTCTGGATATTTCATGAAATGTGGACAGACGCATTGTCCTAGAACGGCCTGCGGGGGCCGAGGCAGATGTTCCCTGCCCCCGGTGAGCGGTGGCCTTCATCAGAAGCCTCCCTGTGTCCCTGGCTCTTCTCAGAGATCGTCCCAGTCTTCCGCTTTCAGCCCTGCACACTCGGATCCCTTCTGATCAGCCGAGCAAGGCCTGCACCTTAGTGCACAGTGTGTGGTGCCCATGCTGGTCTCCCTTTAACACAATTTGAATTTCACTTTTCAAAGACTTCCCTTTCTTTTTTCTCGCGAGACTACTATCAGCCAAGGAACAAAGCAATTTACTCTTGAGCAAATGCACTCCTGTTACCCATAATAATTCGTAGGAGACATTTTAAAGCTTAAAATGCTAGATGTAGGCATTTCTTTCTCTGTCCCTATTTTTCTGCTAATCTATTATATCTGTTTTTTTCAAAGATATCTGAGCTTGAGGAAGTATATAGTTAAAGTCAGGGGAAGGCAGGGAGGAGCCAGGGAGTCCCAACCTACTGTGGCATGATGAGGGGTCATTGCCATTGGGGGGTGGGAGGAGCGCAGGTGCCTTGAGTCTGAGGGCAGAAGCCCTGGGGTGTTGGGGCTCGAAGAAGGCTGCCCACAGGGGTCTGTTTTCCGTTCTGCAGTTCTTTCTTTCTCCTATTAAAAGAGCTCTTTCCCTTTTTTCTTTTTTTTTTTTTTTTTTGGTATACTATGATAAAAGTCATTATTGGGAAATAGCTTCCCCCGCTTTTTTTGAAGTACTGGGGACTGAACCCAGGCCCTCTGCACTGGGCTGTATCCCTAGGCCTTGTTAATTACTTTTATGTTGAGACACGGTCTTGCAAATTTGCCCTGGTGGAAGTCACACTTGCCATCTGCCTCACCTCTCATCGAGTGCTGGGAGTTAGCGCTGTGCACTGCTGTGTTGGCTGCTGACTTTAACATGTGACGTCCTGGCCTCTGCTCGTCTGCAGTGGAACTGTGGCCACTCACTCTCACCTGTGGGACAGGTGCTCCGGGCCACGGAGGTGGCAGCTGTGTATCACCATCTGGCCGTGGAGCCAGTCCAGTCTGTCCTGCAGTGGCTGAGGGCCGTGAGGGTCCTGGCCCTGCAAGGGAGCAGACGCAGGTTCTGGGTGGTGCTCGGGCAGAAGCCTGCGTGTGGAAGGCGGGTAGGTGTTCCTGTCGGGCCCTCTTTCCTTTTTTGTGTGTGTTCTGAGTGAATGCAGGACATTCCTGGTTTTCAGCTCTGCGGGCGCAGAAGCTGGATTCCCTCAGTACTTACCAGCCATGCCTGGAGTGATGAAGGTGGCAGTCATTTTGGTATTTTAGAAACTGTCCAATGTGTGTGTGCTATTGGAATTTCAACCCAGGACCTTCCCACTGACTACATCCCCATCCCTTTTGATTTTTTGTGAGACAGCATCTCACTAAGTGTTCCAGGTGGGACTTGAACTTGTGATCTTCCTGCCTCAGTCTCCCTCCTGGTGGGATTACAGTGCATGTCACCCCCCCTAGCTTGTAGGTGCTCATTTCTGTAAGCTTTAAGAAAATGTATATGTGTGTTTAGTGTAAAATATATGTAATACAAAGTTTTCCACATTAGCCCTTTTGTACAGTGAAGTGCCATTAAGTATGTTTGCCAGGTTGTGAAATTGTCACTCGCATCTGTCTCCAGAACTTTTCATCGTCTCCACAGAAACCTGTACCCATTGAACACTGGGGAAGGGGAGACTGGGGAATTCTCCCCTTCCCTAATAATCTCTAATCTATTCCTGTCTCTGACATATATGTGCATTTTTAATTTTGCAGGATGTGCGTTTCCGTTCTGAATACTTCACGGATGAACTGAGAAGAATTTTTATAGAGGACACTGACTCAGAGACTGAAGACTTTGAAGGATTTACACAGAGTGAGCTGAGCATAAAGAGTAACCCAGAAGTAATGGTAATAATAATCAACGCAAAGGGCTGTGGGCTTATAGTTCTAGTCTTGTTTTTCAATTGTGATTTTATTCCTAAGAAGTTACTTGAAGTTGCTTGGTGGCCATGCCAGTAATCCCAGGAATTTGAGAGGCTGAGGCAGGAGGATTGCAGGTTTGAGCCCAGCCTGGCTTAGTGCCTGGCTATCTTAGTGACTTAAGGAGACCCTGTCTTAAAATGCAAAATAAAGAGCTGGGGAATGAAAACGTGGCACTGTATTTTGTAAGCCAATTAACATACATAAAAATTACTACTCTAAGGCTAATCCTGGGTCTGCTAGTCATTCATCTCTTAGAGAAAATCCATTTGTCTTTGCCTTGTGCTGCTGGGGATGTGTCCCAGGTGTCCTTAACTGTCCTTATGAAGAGTTTCTGCCAGGAATTCTTGAGCCTTTTTTGTCTTTTCACTCTGTCTTGGGGTGACACGTTCATTCAAGCCCTTTTCTGTTTTGTGAGGTTTGAATTGAGTGTGTTGAAAGCAGCTGTGGTGCAGACTTGGAGTTGTCCTCTGCATCTTGGTTTGGATGCTGACAGGTGTTAGTGCTAATGGGGGCCCAGGCAAGTCTGCTCGCAGCCCTTCATGCTCTTAGAGCATGTGGTCAGTCTTTTTTATTTTCTTACATTGAGGCCAGTTTTCTGCTCACTGGATGACTTTAAAGCACAATATCTGTCTGTGTATGCGTAAATATTTAGATGTTTTCAGAATAATTAAATTTAAAGATCGAATTCTTTGCATGCCTCCACTACTCCCATTTTGAATTCGGAAGCTACTAATGTGAAAAGTCAGGGTATGAACCACTCTTACTTCTCCAGTTGGTGTGGGTTGGTGCCCAGGGTTGGCAACCATCTGCATTTTTTCCTTCCTCTCATCTCTACCTTGAGTCCAACTAGAATTTCGGGAGTCGTGAAGAGGAGGCAGTGTTGTAGACTGCGTCCATGGTCCATCCTGTTGCTGCTGTGCCTGTGGCGGCCATCTGGAGGACTCCCTGAGAGTGGTTCCCAGGCTTGAGTTTTCCCCCTTGTTGTAATGAATGAGGCCTAGATGTCCTTGAACTTGAATAAAACTCTCTAGACTGTTGCTGAGTCCCAGTCATATCTCAGGTGTTATTTCATGTCTCCTGGATGGTGTCACCTGTTACCACCTGTTCGGAGTTCTCACTTGAAAACCAAGTGAGGTTTTAATGCAGGAGAGATTTGTAGCATGTGGTGATTAGAACTTTGGCGTGAGATTGCAGTGAGAATTTTTGAGCTCATGACTTGATTTTACCCTGTGGGTTCTGAAGGCTTGACGTAGGGCCCACAGGGCCCTGAAGATGGCCGTCCCCATTAACCTCAGTGGCAGGTCCTCTTCCTGCCCTTGATCACTTCACTGGAGTTGGTTTGTTGAGCTTTGTTTTGTGAGTCCTGCTCCTGCTGTCGGTTGGAACTGCTTGCATTCCCCACTTGTGCCTGCCATTCTTATCTAAAGCTAACTCTGTTGTTGTACCTACCCATTTCTTTGGCTCTGCCTCACTTGACCTCCCTTCCGGGTGCGCCATCTTGTTGTTCACAGGAGGCCCACCAGTCGGTGACTGCTCTCAGCCTGTTGATGATGTGATGGGTGCACAGTTTGGCAATTGATTGCCTGTGCTTTGTTTTCATTCATGAAAAAGATGTGTGTGTTTAGCTGAAGAGCTCAGGAAGCCAGTAATAGGAAGAAGCGTTTTACTTCAGAGTACTTTGAAATGAATGGGTTTTGGGGGCAGTAGGTCTTTTGCAGACAGTGTCTTTGTTCTTGTATTTCCTTAGCTTGTGGAGTCAGACTTGAGTGACAGTGGCAAAGCCACTCTGGCGAGTGAGGAAGAGGATGATGATGAAGAAAAGCCTGCAGCCAGGAAAGGCAGACCCAGAAACAGCAGCATTGGCCTTCGAGTAGCCTTTCAGTTCCCTTCCAAGAAACTGGCAAAGAAGCTGGATAAAAACAGTTCCTCTGAGTTGTTTTCTAGCTCATACTTACAGGACGGTAAAAAAATTATGGGAAGAAAGAAAAGCTGCAGCCAGGCGCTGGAAAGGGAGCGTTCCGACTCCGAGTCTGAGGACGACTCCAGGGATGAGAGCCAGGAGGGCTCGGACGCGCTGCTGAAGCGGACCATGAACATCAAGGAGAACAAGGCCATGGTGAGGCCCCGCGCGGCCGGGCCGGCCGGGCTCTGACGGCAGATGCTGAGGCTCGGGGACAGCCTCTAGCATGGCCACCGCTCTGTCTTTGGGAAAAACGGGCTCTAGAGAGTGTGTGTCCTTTTTCTTTTCTTAACCTAAAGCAATATTATACCATCAGCTGTGATGTGGGACTAGAAAAGGCTCCAGGACTGTTCTTCCAGAGCCCTTATGGGGAGGCAGTTGCTGACGCCGCTTGGGGTTTATCGGTTTGAGTTCTGTATCATTAGCAGTACTGGGGTGAGCAGAGCTGCACTGTCTCTGGCAGAGGGAATCAAAGGGGAACAGGCTGCTCTGGGGCCAGGAAGAGTTGCCCTGGGCAGGGCAGCAGGCAGCCTTTGCCTGGAAACCGCTCTACATGGAGATGTCATTTGAAGAATGGGAAAGGTCTAGGAATTAAGCAACCTAATTCATTTTTAAGTATCTTTGTCAGGACAATTAATGGAACAAAGTGGGTTTTTAAAATGTGTATTCAGTTTTTCCATATATGGTCAGTAGCTGCCTTTGATCACTTTTGAGAATCACTAGTTGCTTCATAATTTTGTACTGATTTTTTTTTTTTAAGATTCTTAAGTTTTCATTTTGGTACATTTTTTTCTCATTTTCCTTGAAAAAGCATAAATAGTGACACTGCATGTGCAATCATCTGTCTGATATGAAAATGGAAAGCTTTCTTTTAGGATAATTTTTATCTAAGAAATATTTGTGCTTGGCTATGGGAAATGTTTAGCACTTTCTTTTCTCAGAACTGGGTTGTAAGTGATTTTTTAGAGGTGTCCTTGTATAAGTCTAAAATTAATCCTAATTAAATTTTCTCATTGGCACATTAGTGCCTGTGGCTTGGTGTTAATGAAGTACTCATTTGGGAGTATCTTTGGGAATTATTTTTATTGGTGAGAAGTGACTTTTGAACTCTACCATTGAAGTCATCTAGTTTTGAGCTCTTTGGTGTTTGGATATGCTTAAACTTGAGATTTGGGCAGGTAAAATTTGTCCTGGGTCACACTGCTAATCAGAGGCTCAGTGTGAAACTGACTGGGGAGGAGGTGGGTTTCCTGGCCTTTGTTTGTGGTGTCATATTGTCCCTGTAGATAAGGAGTAGGCATAAAATTGACTTGTAAAATTGATTCAGATACCATCAGCTTCTCACCTCTGGAAGTATAAAGACTTCACATATAAGATTAAAAGTGTCACGTTGAGGTTCATGTAAACTACTCAGTAGCAAAATCAAACACTTGTGAGAGGTGGTGGATGACCTGGGTTGGCAGCATGGACTCACATCAGATCCTTTCTTTCATTCTGAACCTTAGCTTGCTCAGTTATTGGCGGAATTGAACTCGATGCCAGATTTCTTCCCGGTTCGAACCCCGACCTCAGCTTCTGTAAGTGGAACTCCTTCCAAATATTCAGACCAGCATTGGTGTTTGATAATCAGTTACCAGATGACTTTTATCCAGTTGGATCTGTCTGTGCTCTTGGTTTCAGAAGAAGAAAACAGTGCGACGGGCCTTCTCGGAGGGACAGATCACAAGGCGCATGAACCCAACTCGAAGTGCGAGGCCCCCGGAGAAGTTTGCCCTAGAAAACTTCACTGTCTCTGCCACAAAATTTGCAGAAGAGTTTTATAGTTTTAGAAGAAGGAAGACAATTAGTGGGGTATTTGCTGTCTAATAAATTATTATGGTTTAACCCAGTGCTCCCTCGACCGAATGTGTATTGATCGGGTCACCCCACAGCTGGTCACAGATGCAGTTTCTGACTTAGGAGCGAGCAGCTGAGAACTTGCATTTCCACCATGTTCCAGGAGATGCTGGTGCCCCGGGGCCACTCTTTGAGAGGAGCACTAAGTCTGAGTGTGTCCTATATCCAAACTGAGCCGAGGAGCAGCTCACTGTTTTATTCTTCATGAGCTGAATTCTACTTGATCACTAGTAGAGACAAAAAAGGCCTGTGAACAGCTCCAATCAGCTCCATGGTTTGCAGGTGGCACATTCAGAAATTCCTTTGGACTTTACTGTTTTCACAGATGGGACCTTTCCAGGGCCTTCAGTGCGGAGGGAGAAACCAGGAACTTCCCTATGCGCAGGCTTGGCTATGTAATGTGATACATTTCCTTATTTCCACAAAGTTGTCAGTAGAAATCCCAATCCCAAAGTCCAAGCCTTTCATTGCTGTATCTCCGTGCCAAGAAGGGAGCTTGGCCTGGGCAGGAGCACAGCCAATAACTGCGTAGATGAAACCAGGGAAACAGCAGCAGAGCCATCTCAGCATTAGTGGTGTTAGAGCTCAAGAAAGCTTACAATTTTAATATTACTTTTGAATGGCTCCATGTGTCTCATTCCAGGTTCTTCTGTTGTCCATTTTGCAGGGGAAATGCCAGAGGTACCGACGGCGGCGGCGTGCATCTTCATTTCGGCCAGTGGAGGATATCACTGAAGAGGACTTGGAAAATGTTGCCATAACTGTTCGAGATAAAATCTATGATAAAGTTCTGGTAAATGATACGTTATTAACGATTTGTGTGCTTGTGATTCTTACAAGGGTATCCAAAGCACTGCTATTTGAAATCCTCCATCGTTTTAAAACTATGAGGTCCTGTCTTCATGAGGAACTGGAAGCAGGCTTTCATTTGCAGGGTCAAGGGTGAGCTGAGCGATGGCTGGGAGCAGGAAGATGGGGGAGGCAGTGATCCTCCAGCATGCAGATAATCTGGGGGAAGTGGTGCATTGTTCAGAAAAGCACCTGTTTTATCATCTTTTTATTACTTAGTATCTTATATATTGAAAAACTGTAGTGGGGGTAATAGAAGTTTGGCAGCTGGTTGGTAAGAAGTGGGTTAAGTGGTCTTCTAAACAGTGATTTCAAGGGTGGCTTGTGTCACTTCTTTTTGATAACTGATAGGGCGCCATCGTAAGGTAGTATTAAAGTGTTTTTAATTGAACTGTGAACATTGTAAAGCCAGAAGATTTTACTCCGAAGGCCCCCGGTCTCTAGCACTAGGCTGGAGCTGATCGATGCAGCCTGGGCCCATCACACTCAATCACCTGTTGCTTCCTGGGGGCTCCACTGTGCCTGCCTCAGTCTCTCTTCTGAGCATTCTTCCTGTCTATGTGATGATGTCATTCCTCCTGGGCTTTCAGATTGCCTCTGATGTGTGTTTCTGGCTTGGGAACTGAAGTGCTTACATCTGGCAGAGGCTGCTGTGGTTTGTCCTGGAGAAATGATCCTACTTGATTCTGGGTGGGAGGCAGTGCCTTGTGCACATGATAATGTAGGTGTCAGTGTCTGGCCTCACAGGATCACTGCACAAATTCCCGTGTTCACTGCTCAAGCCTTTCCCCGTAGGGTAACACATGCCACCAGTGTCGGCAGAAGACCATCGATACCAAGACAGTGTGTCGGAATCAGAGCTGCGGCGGGGTGCGAGGCCAGTTCTGTGGACCATGCCTGCGTAATCGCTATGGCGAGGATGTGAGATCGGCGTTGCTGGACCCGGTAGGAGCAGTACTGGCATTTGCTGGAAATCATATGAATGAAGCAGGGAAGTAGAGAAGCAGGGAAGCAGGGGGCCTCCAGGGCTCTGGGTTTTGTAGGGCCCTCATCACTTTCCTCTGACATCCTAAGACTACGAGAAATGAAAAACAGCATTTCCTTGTGGACAGGGAACAAGCTGGCTGACAGTGGGGGAGAAGTGTGCATTGAGTATTCCAGTGTTTGAGCTAAACTTCTGTACAGTTGTCTGCTTTTGTGCAAGTGAATCTTGTGGCTTTCCTCTAGCAGTGACTGTCATTTTCTTGGTCCAGGCCAGGGTAGGCATATCACAGCATTGAGTGCTTCTTGTGTGTCTTAAGAAGTAGATATGTAGGGGCTGGGGAATTTAGCTCAGCAGCATAAGCGCCTGCCTTGCAAGCAGGCAGTCGTGAGCTCGATCCCCAGTACCGATAAAAAGGAAAAAGACAAAAAAAAAAAAAAAAAAGAAGTAGGTATGTAACCTTTTTTGTTTCAGTTCTCTCTGGAAATGAGATGGCAGTGCCTGGTTAGTGGGTGTGACCTTGAACCTGAGCAGCCTTGCTTTCTGGGGTCTGTGCTTTTAAGTAACCACTTTTTTACTAGTAATAGGAGTGCATATACTGTCCCCAGTTTACAGACATACTGTTCCGGTTAAGTAATTGAAAGTAATGGGAGAGCTGAAATTCTTGCTCCTAAAACCACGGCTAACTTAGGGTTTGTGACTTGGGCATTGTGAGTCTGCAGTACCTTGATGCACTTGAAAGGCTCCCTAAGTTTGGAGGAGGGGCCTGCACGAATCACATGGTTGCCGGTCTTGTCTAAAACAGTCCATTTCTCAGTGGCATGGAATACTCAGCCTTGAGGGGTTCCCTGGAGAAGAAAGGCAATACACTGGATAATTCCTCTCCCATGGAAAGTCAGTGTGGTGCAGACGGGAGAAACAGCCCGCTGAGGCAGCCTTTATCAGAGACCCTGGTCTTGCCAGAGCCCGTAGGTAATGGGGGACATTTCTGCCACCACCTCTCTTCTAGGATTGGATGTGTCCTCCCTGCCGTGGAATCTGTAACTGCAGTTACTGTCGGAAGCGTGATGGCCGCTGTGCCACAGGGATCCTCATTCATCTAGCCAAGTTTTATGGTTACGATAATGTTAAGGAATATCTGGAAAGGTGAGTCTCCAGCAATTTAGAAGTGGAGAACCCTCTAGCAGGTAGGGGTTGCCTCATCGCATGGCTGACGATAGGGAATACCTCCAGAGCTATCCGTCCTGTGTCTGTTTGCACTGAAGAAGCTCAGAAATGTTACTTTCCCTATTGGGAAACTCTCTCCTACCCAAAATGGCCCTTTGGGTTACAAAAGAGAAATGGGAGAACTAGATGGGGCTGGCTGAGGGGGGACTGTGAAGAGCCAGAGGGGAGCTGTGATAACCACACTGAGCGGAGAGCAGAGCTTAGGCTGCATGCACTGGGGTGAAGGCAGCTGTGGGCTACAAGTGCCATTTCTGTAAGCTTGGTTTCAGAGTGCAGGAGTGAACAGTGTCACACTTGGCACACATACTGTCCAGGGGACGCAGTTATATTTGACGGGAGACGGGGGCTGGTACTTTGTAGGGTTTGTAATTCTTCTCATCTTTTTCCTCAGCTTACAGAAGCAGCTGGTAAAAGACAAATGAGAGGAAAAGGAGCGATTCATCTCAGAGTATTCCAAGAAGAGATGCATACCATTTGTGCCTAAGATTTCTTAAAGTTGTATTTTCATACAGGAATTCTTTGTAGAGTTGACTGTTTCTGAATACTGTTTTAAAAAATATATACTTAAAAAGATTTTTCAGGAAAAGCAAGCAAAGGGATCTATATTCCGGTATACAGGTTTTGTTCTTTAGTATGATTCAGAAGCACAGTTTAAAGTTCAGGTAAGGTACCAAGAAGACCTTGTATAAGCAGCTCTTTCCTTTAGTACCTTTTACTTACCAAACTGCTTTCCTATGCCTTTTTTTAACTGGCATTATTGCCTTTTAGTTTGTTGTAGCCCAAGTGATTGGCTCAGACCATATAGTATACTGAAGAATGTTTCCCTGAATTACAAAGTGCAATTAACCACATGATATCAGAGTTACTAGTTTGTTTTTTTTTTTAATTTTTATTAAAACTAAAGTGGACTGTTGTGTTACAGACACTGGAGGCCTTAGAGTGCCTGTTTTTTCATTTATGACTTGCCTGCTGCTTCTAGTTTTGAGAGAATTTTAAGGGCTAAGTTTTAATTTAAAAAGATTTTGATGTTTACTGTCCATAAGAACTGAAATTCCCCTTCAAGCTGCATGGTTTTTGAGGTTCAGTAGAAGCTTGGTGAAAATGTGAGAGACTATATTTTTGTGTTGAGAGATGGGGTTTCAGAGAACCCAGGAAAGCTAAAATCACTGAACATACTTCCTAAGCAGGTTTCTAGCATTTTCAATATTTGCTTTTTGTCACATTCTCCACTGTTTAAGGATACTGTTTTAAAAACTAAATGCACATATAAGTTACTAAAAAAATTACATAAGTTAGAATGTTTTATGCTCTTAAGTAGAATAAATTAATAGGAGCCAGCACAATAGGACATTCTCACTGTGTTCTGCTGCAGGCTGGAGCACGTGTCTCTGTACAAGGGCTCCCTTATGCTTCTAGCAGCAGAGCCACGCCTGCCAGCACCCACTTGGCTGTCTTCTCTTTGGTCTTCAGCCTGAAGGTCCAGATGTATGTGGGGCCCCTCATTTTGTTGATGTACACAGGGCATTCATAGGTGTGTTTGGTTTCTTGTCTGTCCATGGGGATGGCTTTGGCAAAGATGACCGGCATCATGGACGTCAGCTCCTTGAGACGAGCTTCAACAATAGTTCCACACTGGATGTCCCATCTGGCACCTATGGCAAAAACAGCAGTTGCCAACTGTGTGGCATGTGTGGGGCATGTTCAAACTGATATTCTAACTGAGGCAATAAACATTCTGATTTTATCATGTCTTTTCTTGTCAGTGGCATCCTAACCTTGCTGGCCCATGACTGAGACTTGAGAGAGTTTAACTTGCCTATCTTAGACATACATTATTGTTCCATGTATAATGGCTAAAGTGTAAGAAATCTCCAGTTCAGCATGCTTTTTCTTAGAACAAGTTCTGATCACTGGAATTGCTGATCCTGCCCTTAAATATCTGAATTGGGGCACATCCTGGCAAAGACTAGATGTCCTGCAAAATAGTGCATAATCAAATTTGGAAAACCTAGAGTCTAATTCATTTAGAGATGTGCAGTGCCAAAGGTATTGGAAAAGTTTGGAAAGTCTGGTAGCAAAAATTAGAGCAAAGTTACTAACAGCTTTGTATTGAAACGCAATACAGTGTAGGTCTTGAGTTGTCCTGGGGCATTAACACCAAATATTTGTGTGCAGTTGAAGTGACAGTCATCATCCCAGGAGGCTCAAGTTGGCTTATACTGAATGCACACACTGGTACTTGCTTTGTAAGAAGGGACATGAGAAGCATCCCTTAGCATGAAACTGTTGTGTGACTGGATCTTAAGAAACAAGGAGAAATACCATCTTGGACCTAGTGAGGAAGCTACCCCAGGCACTCCTGGTGGCTCACCTTCCATTTGGAGTCCGTGGAGATATGCACCTTCCCTTGGGGCATGGCTGTAATCTTCCTTTACTTTTTTGGTAACATCCACAGTTAGACACATTCTGTCCAGCGGCCACTCATTTTTTCGAGCCATGGTCTGCATGATTGCTTGGAGAAGGAATAGGAATAAGATTAAGAAGCTGTATATAAATAGGGCTCAGAGGCTGAGGCACTCTGTAATGCCATGGGAAGTTTTAGGGTCCTGTGTATTTTGCTTGGTGCTGCTGCAGGGTAGAGCTTGGCAAACTAAGGCCACTTAGTTTATAACTTGCTTGTGTCACAGTCTGCTGAACAGTGGTTTCTGTTTTGTCTGTGCTTGCGTTTGCACTGTTCTTGGGGATCCTTCCCCCTCCTGCTCACCACCGACTGCAACTTTAATCCTGCTGTAGTTGCCACTGTTACTCTTGCAGCCTCTTTGTAATGGCTGCTGCTGGGGGATTGGTGAGCAGGGCAGGGAGAATCGTCAGGCAAAGCAAGGAAGGACTACCGGGGTCCCCAGGGCATCCAGTTGCCCTTTCTCCACCCTTACCAGTTAAGAAAGACTGAGGGTTGAAGAAGCCAGAAAGCCACACAACGGCTGGAAGGGCAAGGTCTTGGGTCCAAGTGTCGAGTTCTCGGCAGCGTAAAAGGAGGTCGTTAAACCTGGTCAGTGGAAGGTAGGAAAAAATCAACATGCTGTTTGGTAAAACAGATGCCCTCCAATATAATCCTGAAAAAAGGACCAGGGAAAGTGGTGGCAATGCACAGGCACACCGCTGAGGGCAGTAAAGCCCTCCTGTGGTGATTTGCAGGGCACCCTCCTTTTAAGGAGCAGTTTCCTGTGGAGACTTGACACCTATAACATTACTATTAGAGGCAGGAAAAATGAACAATGGGGAAAATTCTGCATTTATTCACCCATTTTAGAGCCTCCCAGTGCCACGTGATGTATATACGAAAGTCACCTGTGTGAACGGGGCTGAGAAGAGCCAAGAGGAGGTGCAAGACATGGTGAGTTCACACCAGAGAACACTCGAGTCTGATGAAGGGAGAGAGGGCCTTGTGCCCAGACGGAGCTGCCAGGGAAGGTGACAGGCAGAGACAGCACGTGGTGATACATGGAATTACCTGGGAGAGTCACATGGTGCCTAAAAAGAGGATCTCATCCCCAGAGTGCTACACAGCTCCTGTTTGTAACCTGGTTCATGAAGCTAAGGAAACGAGCTCTGATCAAACTTGGGGACACTTGATGCCTTGACACGGAGGTTTGAGGGCTGCTGAAAAGGGGCTGAGTGAGGAGCACAGAGCGCAGAGGCTCACAGAAGCCAGCAGAGTGGCAGTCAGCAAGAGGAGAGTGTCACAGGCAGGCCAGGGGAACTGGTGTGGCTCCTGGTTGTAGAGGAAGTGGCGTGGATGAGGACTCGTCCCGCACAGACCGTAGTGGTGGAGTATCTGCCTGAGGCGTTTGATTGACTACAGGCCAAGAAGACAGTGTTTACCTGCTAGCTTAGAACATGGGCCTTCCTGGTGCCCTGCCTCACTTTACATTCTTACAGCTGCTTTAGTAAAACTGTACTTGAACATAGCAAAAAGGAACAGGGCTCTACACACAGAATGAACAGGAAAAGCACTGGGAGAAAAAGATTCCTGGGTCAAAGGGAAGCCAGACGATTAAAGAAAAAAAAAAAAAAAGACTACTTACATGAACAGGATTGTGATTTAGGGCCAGTAAAGAAAAAGATTAGGCTGGAAAATTCCAGGAAGGAAGGGAAAATAGGTTATAGGAATAAAAACAAAGCAGCAGAATCAAATGGAGGAAAAAGACAAATAGGTTAGAGGGAAAACGGATGAAGGCTGAACTAAAACGTCTGATACTAAATTCTAACAGAAAACTTCAGTTTCCTTAAATCATAGATTTCAATCTATAATATTACTAGAAAATCACTACAAAATTTGGAATAATCAGTACTGAGAACCTGAATTATAATATGGCATATAAATATAAATTCCTTGAGTTGCAGGAGGAAAACAAGCTATTTAGAGAGGGCAGACACTGCTGACCTCGGCCATCTCTGCAGTGGCACTGGACAGAACAGTGATGCCTACCTCGTCTTCCAGGTGTGAATATAACAGACCAGCATGAAAGTCCATGAGCAAATCCAACAAATACGAAGGTTTATAATTCAGAAAATAGGAGAAATATTGGAAAAACAGACAATGACAGTTGTCGGGAAGAAACTATCTCTTTGAGACAGAATGAAAATCAGCTAGAACTGACTGAAATACTGCAAATCTGTATAGTGAAAATAGTTTGGGTAAAGATAATGAAAATGGAGAGGAAAGCAACACTCGAGACCTGAGGGCCTCACCTTTATGACAGCACAAGTGCAAGAAGCGCCAGAATACATTTCTTAAAAATCCACAACCAAATACTGTAGTGGACTTGTAGGACCTTCGGGGTAAAGAGAAACTTGTGGAGGAATGACAAGTGTATTTACTTGGTGCTAGGAAACTGGAGTTAGGACACACAAGATAGAAAAAAGAGTCACTGTGCCCTGGAGTTTCACAGAGAAGTCTGTAGCCAGTTCAGATGACATCCTAGGTTTATACTCCGGTAAAAGGGATCCCAGAACAAGATGGGGAAAGTATGCCGAGCACAGAAGTTGATACATTAAAGCAAAAATACTTTAAACAAAAATAGTGTATAAAATAACACTAGCAAGGGGCGGATGTTTAGAGAGAAGCTGAAGGTTCCCAAGGAAAGAAATGTTTACATTGTTAGAAAAATGGATGTTATTATAACAAGGCCTTCACTAAAGTAATAGGAATGATACTGAGCTAAGTCAAAGGAAACTGAAATCAACAAATCAGAAAAAAAAGGGAATTATGAAAACCAGGAAGTCACAAAAATGGTGGGAAACGTAACCATAAATATAAATCCGTGGTTCCCTGATGTATAGGGTCAGACTCCAGCTGTGCATAGCATGAGAAAATCAGCTGAGTGGCTCTGCTCAGCCCGCTGCATCCTCTGCTCCCCAAGGGGGCCACACTGTCCTGCCTGTGTCCTTCCCAGCCCATCCCACACAGCCAACGCTTGCCATCCTCTGGGACTTTCAGGAGGCCCTCAGTTCAAGGGTCAGCGGTGTTCTAATGGTTCCGGAGGAGGGGTGAAGAGCTCAGCAGCAGCCAGGCCAGGCTGGGATAAAGGTCTTGTGGTGCTGAGTTTTCTAACAGCGCTATGGAGTAACGCCAGGCTTCAACAGTTGGAATTCCTGCCTCTGGCTATGCGACCCTCACAATAAAGGGAATAGTTTTCTGCATATCATAGTAAGAACTTCCAGAAATCACCTGTGAGATAGTGTCTCCTGAGCTTGGAAAATAAAGGATCTAATTAATATAACAGGAGGGCAAACTAAAGTTGCCTTCCATGGTTATTCAAATGTTACAACTTGAAGAAATTTTATTTTAGTTATATCTATATCAGATAAAAAATTGAGATCATGTATTTTGTCCAAGAACAAATACCTAATGAGTGAATTTGACTTTTGCTCTATGCGGCTTTGAACTGATTTTGCCTTTTTGACCGCATCCCAAGGTGAAGTGAGAAGCTGGTGGTGGAGTCTGCCTGCTTAAGCGTCAGTCATGGTTTCTGGGGTTGTGGGCACGACAGAAGGAGGCTAACCAGCACTGGCACTAGTGGCATGGTAGCAGGAAGAGGTAGCTTACCACTGAGCAAGGCTGTAAGTAGATGGGTAAGCCAGCTTGCTCCAGGTGTGTGGAACCCTGTCGTAACTCAGGGCAGAGTGCTGGGCTTCCACGTCAGGAGACAGCACCAGCTCCCCCTTGGTGGAGACAAAAAGACCACACAGTGAGTATCTTCCAACACGGCGAAGCCCACTCTAGTCTGCTTCCAATTTACCTTTAATCCAAGGTCCAGCTGTTGAAGTGACACACGAATTTCCCGAATGAGAATATTCATCCTCTCACATTCTTGAAAACAGACAAGAACATATGGGCTTCTATTTGAGGTCTTTTGCATTATCTCTGCCATGTTGAACTCTTCTGGAAGTCTCTCCAAAATGTCATCCAAGACATTTCTAACCTAAATCATTAACACACACAAAGATCAATCTATTCAGTTTCGTTCAGGGTAACATACAGCTTACTGTTTGAAGTCTGGTCCATCATCCAACTTGCAAAGATCTCTGTAAACTCATTTGTTTCAAAAAGTTTCTCATTTTTTGGTGGTTGAGCCTAGGGATTGCTAAACCTGGGATTGAGCCTAGGGACTGCTAAACCTTTTTTATTTTTTAATTTTATTACAGTCTTGCTCAGTTGTCTAGGCTTGCTTCAAACTTAGC